AACTTAGCGACACCAGGACAGACATCGCAACCTCAGTCGATGATGATGCACGCCCAAAATTATCAGCACCACCAGCAGATCTATTCGAACATCCCCAGTCATCCCCAGTCGGTATACTTGTCGCAGTCTCAGCACGCTCAAAACGTCCAACGGCAGAGCACTTCCGTTCACTCGACTTCTTACGGTCAGCAGTCTCAAGCTAGTAGCGCCAATCCGATTTACGCAGGTCACGCGACCTCCGTCACCGTCGTCCAGGCTCAGAAGATCCATCAGGGGCCCGGGTACGCGCAGCAAATTCAGCAAGCTGGAATCGCCAGTCATATGGCATGCTCTCAAGCAACCAACGCGAATCAGCAATCGTTTGGCGTGATGGCGCAATGTCATCCGGTTCAGGCACAGTTTTCCTCGTCCAGCGGTACCGTGCAATCAATTGGGCAACAACAACAACAACAACAGCAGCAGCAGCAGCAGCAGCAACATCACGTACAATCAAGCGTTCCCTCGCAATGCAACGTTACGAATCTGGCGACGAGCACGTCAAACGCTACCGCTACGCCATATCTCGCCTGCCAACCCGGAATCGTGAAAACGAATATGCCTCAAGTAGCGACCGGTGTCGCAAAAATCACCACATTTGTCGCGCAAAAACAAGACGAACAGCTCACTAGCTCCACAGACGGTACGCTCTCCGGATCTCTGATATCCTCCGCTGTCAGCGACAGCACAATGTCGTCGAGCAGCTCGATGACAGAGGAGGCGCATCAAGACCAGGTTTGGCAAATGCCTCCTAGGAATGACAAATCGCATCCATTTACCCGCAAACCAGCATTATTACTGTATATGCTTCTTTTTTGGTACACGCGATAGAGCTGTTTGGGAATTCCGTTTTACAGAGATGGATTCAATCTCGAACAGCTCTAGTTTGCTACGCGCTCGCACACTCGTCGTGTTTACATGCTCGTTTGAATTTACGGACACACGCATACACGCAGCGGGCCTTTCTACTTTCGTTGTGCAAAACTAGAAACAATGTTTCGTTAAGGTTGAATTACTTGTTTTATTTTTCTTTGCAGTTTGGTAGGCTAATCTTTTTGCATGAAGAATGAACACAATAATAATAATAACAAACAACAACAATAATAATACACAATTGAGCTGCATGTGACGAGTGTGATTGCACTACTCTTAGTCTGAAATTGTACATTTGCATCGAGAATTATGCATCTCTTTAATTTTACTGTGTACATATGTTTATCGAAGTCGAAACGACAAATTATCCTACCAACAATCGTAAGCCGACGGTTAGGAAATAAGATGAGCTTTTCTTGTTTCAGAGAGTTGTGCAGTCGCAGCTATTGGACAGCGTTACGGAAAATTCTAATAGCGGCATCGACGATGAACAAAGGCTATTGGAGCAGCGATTATTGCAACAACAACGTCAATCGGAAGAGGACAGCCGCTGGTTAGCGAGAGAGGAGGTGGGCCAACAAGTTTAAATGAAATTTGTAACAAAGAAACTCGTTGAAAATTAATGAAATTTGTCGTTGTCTATTCAGAAACGTTTGTCCATCGCGACGAGCGGGGATGAAAGTGCCAGTCCTCCGGTTCCTCGTTCAGTCACGCAGTCGCCGAATCACGAACAGCACAGCGGAAATACTGGCTCGTTGGGCTCCGATAAGGGCACGGATAAAGTAATCGTCGTAAAGGTACTATGTTTAATAATAATCATACTATACAAGAACGAGTGTTGTTTTAACGATGAGCGAGGCTGTTTTCTGTTTTATAAATTCCAATTAACATTTTTACGAGAAGGACTTACGTTACCAGAAATATTTAATGGATAATAATACGTACTATACCTATACCTTCGTTTCCTAGAAAATGGAACCGACGCCAACCGCCGATTTGGATAGAACCAACGACAAAGTGTACGATTGCACTACCAGCGTTGTCCGTGCCGTGATGTCTTTGTCACAAGGTACAACGTCGTTCTACATCGCTTGTGTTGTAACATTCAGAGTATTTTTTTCATTGAATTGTGATGCCAGGTGTACAGCAGAGCAAGGCAGAACAATACTTGGAATTAGTACGTAAAGTAGGCCTCGAATTGAGAGCACTGCTGTCGTCTGTGGACTCTTTGATGGACATATTACCTATATCTGCTCATCGTGAAGTAGAAATGGCACATAAAGTTCTCAGCAAAGACATGGCAGAACTGGTAACCGCTATGAAACAGGCTCAAAAATATAGTGCTACTACTTTGGATGCAGAGTATCGAAAGTAAACGCTCCGTGCAATGCATAACAAATACAATATACAAGATGATTTTAGAAACTGGGGTTAACCGTAACTTGTTTTCTTACCTAACGTTCTATAAATTTTTAAAGAGAGCTACGGCTTACCTCAGTTTCTAGAACCTTGTACATTACCCGATGTAACGAACGAAGAAAAGTATTAAGGGGACGTACGGTGTATTTCAGAGGCATGCTATCGGCAGCACACATATTGGCCATGGACGCGAAAAACTTATTAGACGTAATCGACTCGATACGTATTCGCTATCCATACGTGGATAGCCAGATTTGCCAAAAGCAAAACGACAATAACGGTCCGCAAGAATCCGCAGCAGAAGGCCGTATACGATCCAGTCAATCCGGTGAACAGTTTCTGAGAAGAAGTCAGTCGACTGAACGCCAAAGCACAACGTTTAGACAAAGCCAAAGCGGTGATCTTCTGCACAGAATGGGTCAGTCGGTCGATCGCTCTTCACAGGTAAAAATCCTGATCTTGTGACCAGATTTTACATCATAAATAAATCACTGTATTACGTCGATACCATAGACGCACGAATCTTTTTCCAATTTAGGGTAGTCAAAGCGATGTTAGTACCGGGTCCAGTCTAGAAAGAAGGCATCACATCGTTACTAACAGTCTCGAACGTAATTCGACGACACGGAGACAAATGGCGACGAATAGTTTAGAAAGAAAAAGACCATCGTTATCGTGTAATATCAGCTCCATGAATAATTCGGTTAATCTGCCACCGATGGTACCAGTTACCTGTAATTTAGTCCAAACAGTAGGACCTGTAATTCACCCAAGTCAGACAATCGCGACAGGTATTAATCAACAGTCAGTGTTTTCAACTAACAATAAAACGCCAAACGAAACTGCAACAAGTGATAGCTAACAACGAGGTGCCTTGTATTAAGGTAAATTATACTTGGAAATTGTGTTCCATCTGTAAAGCTATCTGAAACATACGTTCGTTACTTCTATTTGTTTGCTGATTTCAGGAATACTTCGGAGAGATATTAGTTTGTATGTATATAGGCGACGTCGTACAAGTTACCCGTCTACATCTCGCGCATAACTCAGCAGCAGGAGATTTAGTATTTGTGCTTTGTAGCTCTTTTTAACGCTATACAGACTTGGTCTAAACGTACTTATAGATAGGACAGTATTCATTAGATGTAGCAGTAGAAGAATTGTCATTAAAAGTAAGTCACAGCTATAAAGAAAATCACTCCAAAGCTTTAGAATTATTGTTAATTTGTTATTGTATAACAACCGCGTGTATAGGGTGACGCAAAAGGAACAATCTTTAAACGTAGAGGATTGGAATTACGCGCAACTAGCGTTCGTGCAAATTCACATCAACATGACATGTTTATCAACATTATCAACAATTAATTATAAAAGAAATTACAATTACATTATGACGTATACGATCTATCATCCGAGAGATTTTCTCACTGCATCATCCTATAGGTAGTTGGACAATTCTATATATATATATATTTAAAAAAATAGTTCAAACGATAATATTTCGCGAAAATTTAATTTCATCTAGGATACAATCTTATAGTGTTGTTTTTACGAATCTATAATTTAATAGTCGATTTCCTGCTACCGGGAGTGATTACAATGTAAAAAAAAATGGGACTGAATGTTATTTCTATTATGTAATTATTTAGCTATTCATACCGATTTGTGAAATTTATACAGAATGTTTTATAAAAAGCGAATCATTCTTCAACGGCAAGTCAGTTCCTACAAAATATTTATAGAAAATTTCATCTTTGCATAAGAATAGTATTGACATTTTGTCAATGAAATGCGCCTCTATGCATTTACAGATCCATTAAATATTCCATAGATGTAAAGTATTCCATTTTTATAGAATTTGTTACCTGTTCGCGTTCCTGGGAAGATTTACTTTCATATTAAAGCGAAATTTCCACTAATTTTCAGGATTATTTTGTTGATGAAAAATTGCTTTTTTATATTGTTCGTTATTCGATGACACTCACGGTTCTAAATGTTAATGTGCCAAGGTGTGTGTGCTTGTGTATCCAAACAGATTTTTTTACTAAACGATTAGAAGTGTACAGTTATAGATTAATGAATTTTCATCCCGGGAATTCGTAACTTTCGGTTACAACGTTTGACGCTGCTACTGTATCGAAAGCATTAGATCTTTTTTCTTGAATTACTTTAAATGTGTATATATATATAAATATTTAAAATTTATATCATTTAATAACGATGTTGGCGATTCAGTTACATATTATTCTTGGCATTTTTTTTATTAATCGCAAACATTGCACTACGTGCAAGAAATTTATTAGAAAATTTAACTTTAACTACTTGCATTAAAATATTTAAGAAATTTTTAATTTTCAATTATAGGAAGTATTAAGATATTTATACTGCCTCCAATAATACACCATTTATAATGTATTACAATTTTTATTCAATTTCTTTTCATTATATGTAATTATTACAACTATGTCGTAACGAATATCATAATATGTGATGACAGAATTAAAGTAAAAATCTTTTAAACCAAATTTATCGTACGCGTAATTTTATGCGATAAAAAATATTACAAGCCTACGTATCTGCGCGAAAAATTTGATTAAAAACTTTTTTCATTTTAGCACTTGCAGTTAAAATTATTCTGCAATCATGCTATATAATACAAGATTTCGTAATTTTTGACGAAATGTTAATGTATGAGCCATTTCTAATTGTTAGTGCAGGTAGTTAGTTATTCTTCAAATTACAATCACAGGTCATTAAGAAGAAATAAGTATCGAAGTAACAGCAGTCTATCATGACGACGAATAATAAAAGTAAACATAATGCGTAATAATAATTGAAAAATATTTATAAAATTGTGTAAATGTAACTATGATGTATCATGATCACAAGCGAAATAAACGCCGCGAATGATTTCAGTATAACGAATAGTTCAATCAACTATTTACCGTGTTTCGCGCTATAATATTTAATGCCGTTAACCTGTGAACATCTAGCATACTTAGTTAGAAGAGCGTTAACATTCATTTTGGTTGTTGACAAATTTCTGAAACAGAACAAAAATTTATACAACAAAACAAAAAATGTTTGCATTCCATGAACACGTTTCTTTTACATACATTATATAGGGTGTTATTTCTTGTACAGTCCATTTATTTTTCGCTTTAAAAAGTTCATTAAACCTCTCGTTAATATTCTTTGGCAAATCTGCTTCCGAAAAGGATGTTACTTCTTTTTCCAATGTTGAACTATTCCAAGTAATAAGAGCTATACCGCCCAAATATTCTTCTTTTGGTTGCATTTCTACATTTAGAAAAACGCAATTTGAATACAAGCTTCATGTACAAATTACTTTTAAACAAATCATATCTTACTATCTGGAGTACCGATTTGCCATGATTCCATAAATTGTTTGTACTCTGTTACCGGCGAAGCGGCAAGGAGAATTTTCGCCAAGCTTTTACAACATTTCTCTTCGTTGAATCTAAAATATCATAATTTCTTACAACAAAATATAATGAAAAGTATATATCTTGTATTCTAAAAAAAAATTCCAATACCTGTAGAAAGGTGTTGCATCTTCTTTTGATTTACTGGTTGCTTCCGTATACTTCATAAATAAAATATCAAATACAGGCCTGGGAATAAATTCTTTCAAGGCTTCATATGTAACTTCTTTATCTATCTGATCTAGTTCCCAACTATTTTCATCAAAGAGATCCAACATTAACATTAAACTTTGCACCTCACCTTCGAATGATATTAAACGATAATACCCTACAAAACCAAATAGGATGATATAGTTGTAATAACTAAATCAAGTAGATATTATTTAGTAAATGCCCCTCACCCCAAAACAAAAAACAAAAAAGAAATATACCATCGATATTCACTATTAAATATTCATTTAATGCCTGATACAGTTCATCTTCACTGGCTTGTATTTCACTCTGTAATCTGTCCCAATCATACAAATGTTCTTTAACTATAGCAGATTCATATTCCATTCCTTTGAAAGAAGTAGGTTCAAGGATGTTAAGTAATTTTTCTAACTTGGGCTTATATTCCTTTACCTTAATTATTTTGGAAATTTACAATGTACGAATTATAGATTTACAAATAATTTGTTGCTGTACAATACACATACCTCATAATATGTATGAAAAACCCCTGAGATATTATGAGTTCTTATAATTCGACCATTGGTACATGTACTTGCTTGATTGGATACGTTTAAATTTGGTACTAACATACATGAATTAGATGTTTCTGCTTCCTTGATATCATATGTTCGACTTTTTGTGCACAATACTGCAGAATCTTGTTTATTACCCTGAAACATTAAACTAAAAAACTGCAGATAGTAAAAAGTTACCAAGGCAAAGTTACTTTGTGGATGATATCTCTGAATACAATACGTATACAATGACCCATTAAATTAAAATTAAATTTATATATCAGATAAAATAGTGTTTGGATATGCACTATTTTTCAATTATTTTTCCTTAATGTTTATGTTTCAAAATCCCGGCCGCAAGAGGTTAAAAATCAAATTAAACACATACCTGTCTCCTTGTTTAATAGTTTCCAGCAAATGTTCATCGAGTTCCAGTAACTTTGTATGCATCTCCGAATTAGGTTCCGACGCAGAATAGAGAATATGTGTGACATTTTGTAAATTAGCTTCTTTAATAGCAGCTAATCTCAAAGTTTCGTTTATTTCGTTTATTCCATGGGAATATCTACAAAGTGGAAGTAATTTTAGATTCTTTAACCGAATCGAGCATTTTATTTCGTCTATAATTTATATTTTTACACAGTGTTTTCAGTATTCGTCATGTTGAACTTTCAAAGAAATTCGAACAATAGGTCAAAGGAATCTGACAGACTGTAAAAGACGTGTCACTTGAATCGTAACGATAAAATAATCAAATTATTGCGAGAATAATAAAAGTTTAATCGAATAATCGTGTTCTATCGCAGTGAAATGTTTTCGATAGTTTTTTTACGCGCCAATTTTTATATTGTCCAATCGTAGCATAAAATCAAGTCAAACTACAGATGGAGAAGTACAGCTACAGTACAGTTTCGACTCATCGTTGGTCGAGACGTGCTGAAGCTGAAGTGCACACGACATTGTCAGTAGCCATATTAATTGGCTTTCATTGTCTTTTTAACCGTGTTCGAAAAGTCTGAATTTGATAGATATTTACTTTTCAACGAGGTACGTATCGTTTAGTATTTTTAAACGATATGCAATGAAAAAATAGGTCGTTAAAATTTTGTTGATCCAAAGTAATTGCGATCGTTAGCGCACAGTTTACACTGAACATAACGGATGTTCCTTTGTTTTCCTTTTCATGCATGATTTCTCTTTTTCTCGTGATTGTTATTCCATTTGAATTGTAATTTGTAATACGTTCTATCACGGGCATACACCGACATTGATTCATAATATCTTATGGTTAATGTTGAATCTATTATGACGCGTTGTGTCTTAACGTTCAGAATAACCTTTTCATCTGCACGAACGTTGGAGTGAAAAACTGATCTTGCGTTACAATCAAGGAAAGTGTGTGCGGATAGGACTCAATGGTATCATAGCGGTTCAATTTTAAACAATAATAATTAAATCTTTCATAATTCAATGATAATGTATAAGGTTGGTGGATACAAAATGTTATCTGTTTATAGTACGTTGAAAACACGTTTGCTCATTTTCGATAGAATGCGTTGGAAAATGTTTAATTTGGACAAATATTTTGTAAACATCGACCTGATAGAATGATTTTTGAAAGTATATATTTTATATATTTTTGTGTGACACAATAATTTATTTACAAATAATAACTTCCTTCTAGAGATACTATACAACCAACAAAATAGAAACATGTCAAACGACGTGAATATGCAAGCCGAAAAGGTATGTTTTTTCTTTAATATATAATGCATGCCTAACTTTCGCATGACAACTGGGATATGTGAAATGTATTTAAAAGAAAACTACGCACAGTTACAATTGGGCTGCTATCGTGACTGAAATTTCATTTGTCTCCTTTAATTGGAAAACAGGAAAAGTTATGGTAAACAATTTGTTGATTAATGCTAATTTTTCTTTGGATCAAGCCCAATGAGGAAGAAACTGTCAATAATGCAGAAGAAGAAGAAGGCAGTTCGTCTATTGACCTGCATGCGGTACCTATTTCTGCAAATTAAAGTTTTGCTGCTTAACGATTTCTTTTTTTTTTTTTTTTTTAAATTGTTTACCCTGTCTTTTGTTACTAACAATAGCTTCCATTGTATGGTAGTTGGAACTACAGATGTAATATATTTAAAATTGTTTCTACTATGGCTTAACGTATGTAACAAACTAAAATTTTAGCAAGAAAGCGGACCAGTTTATGGAGGATGCGAAGGGCCGAATGCAATGTATGTAAAATTGGTGAGCAGCGACGGACATGAATTTATCGTTAAGCGTGAACATGCTTTAACTAGCGGGACTATAAAAGCCATGTTGAGCGGTCCTGGTCAGTTTGCTGAAAATGAAGCTAACGAAGTTAATTTCCGTGAAATCCCGTAAGTTCTTTTACTTTTTTTAAAATGAAATTCCAATATATTTATAGAATCAACTATGTCTTTTATTTACAGCTCTCACGTATTACAAAAGGTTTGCATGTATTTTACTTACAAAGTACGTTATACGAATAGCAGCACAGAAATACCAGAATTCCCTATCGCACCTGAAATTGCGTTAGAATTGTTGATGGCCGGAAATTTTTTAGATTGTTAAGAGCAACGAATAATATTGGTAATTAGGAGCAATTTAGTTTTGGAAATTATCGAAATCTATCGTTATCATTTTTCTTTGAAGTTTGCCAATGCATCGTCATGTTTTTGACGAACACACCCGCTTTATGTTCTTTTATTTATACTTGTAATGTTAAAACACTTGGCGCGTTATACTTGTGGTTGTAAAAAGAAATTATCAAAGTATATCGAATGGCAAAACCTTAAACTTTCGATATTTATCAAATATTGAACATTTAACAAACGATTAAAAACATATATTGCTTTCGTATAGGAGACAGATTATACTTGATTGCATTCATCGCATTTTTCGGTGACATAATAAACATGTTCTGAATAATCTATTACAAAAAATAGCACATCGATATAATACGCATATCCGTATATGAATGCTTGGTCCAACAATGTAACATCATTTTGCAATTGTAAAACATTGCTTACATTGCGTATAATTAATAGCGGTATAGAATCGGCAAATCATGCAATAGCAGAATTTCTCATTTTTTAACAACATTGCGTATTGTTACAATTCTGTATTTATGTTTTTCATTACATTTAAGATTATTTATTTTTCTTTTGCTTTTTGTCATGCCATGAATTATTTCCTGTACATTATTCTTTAGCCAAGTTTGTAACGATATCATCTTATATTTCTCAAGAAGAAACAAACAGCATATAAATGCATAAGTAAAACACGATACACTTAAAAAATAGTTTAATTACAAAATTGAAATATTACTATGTGATATATTGTAAGGCAACACACAACGCATTACTCTTTTATAAAATCTTTAGATGAAATGCGTGATGTGTGCGTCTACTAAAATTGTACTCTAATATAATTAATTATAAGAATGCGACAAGTTGCTGTTATTTTTCACCATTCTTTACCTAAATAAAAAAGACACGTATAATTGTAAATAAACTTTTTTATCTATTTTCTTCGAAATTCAACAATGAACATCATAATACTTAAATCAAATATATATACATATTCTCCTGCGATTCACACGGTTAAATTAATCCGTTTATCACAAAAAATGTTATCAATTTCATCCCTTTTCTCAGTTTTTATCGCAACATCAAGTGTACGTATATGTTCATATTTTCATTTATACAGAACGCAATATGTATCACAGGTTCACTTATTTTTTTGTATCTTTTTCAATGTCTTTAAACTTGGCTTCCAATCGTTTGGAATAGGATGCTAATTTATATGCAGCTTGCTCTAGTTTCGTTACACTATCGTCGATCTCGTTGATGTTATCCAAAATAGGTTGCAATTTTTTATATTTTTCGTTTAAAGAATCCAAAGATTGAGCTACACTAGAAGATATTGTTTTCAGTTCGGTGTACTTTGCAATCGTTTCTTTGTTTAGTCGTTCTAATAAACGATAATCGGCGTGAGTGGAAGTGAGTTCTTCTTGCAAATATTCACCGGTTTTTTGAAACATCGTATTCGCTAAACGACTAAGGTTTGGATCGTGAGGATCTAGTGCCTCAAAGCTGCTCGTACTAGTTGAAAGCGTAGTTCCACGTTTCGGTGAACCGCATCTTGAATTGTGATCCGTTACCGAACTATCGGTATAGATCGGTGGTTCGATTTGTATTTCTTCCTTTGATAAATCTTTAGCCGATGTCATATCGGATCAAATCAAGTCACGATAAACGTGGATAAACGACTGTGTTTGCTGCTTGTTTTAAAAACACCAAATGGCACTTGTTATGATCTCGGGGGACAAGAGGTTCAAGCGCAGACGCAATTCGATGCAATATTCTTGCCCAATATTAGACGCTGTATTATTATGTGCAATAAATTTTGTTTGAACAGTTATTTAATGCAACAATAATTATCTAAATAGATGTTAAAAGGAATAATTTCTACCGATTACATATATTCGTATACTCGAACTAATTTTCGTAGTTTGATCAGCGCATCTTTTGGAAATACGACCAAGTTTCTCCTCGAATAGTTCCTATTTCTATTGGTAGATGGCGCTATTAACTTCGTTCGTTTCATATACAGCTACCACCCGCTAACACCTCCCAACCTCCCCTAATATCTCTTAACAACTCCTAAGGGCTCCAGACAGTTCCCTTTATTTCTCGTTAATTTCTAGAATGTTTCCTATTAATTTCCCCCTGATAGTACTCAAAGAAGTAGCATAACTTTTAATTAAATAACGATACTTACCTCTTGTATCAGGAGAACGTAATGAGCGAGTAGGTATCATAATTTTTATTTTCTGCTCGATACTTACCTCTTGTATCAGGAGAACGTAATGTTCGAGTTGGTATCATAATTTTTATTTTTTGCTTGAAACTTACCTTTTGTATGTGGCACTAATTGAATTTGGCTCGAATTTTACTTCTGATATATGATACTCTGAAGAGGTGTCCCTGCATCCGACGTTGCCGCGTTCTCGATTTCACAACTACTACGTTGAAGAGAACAATACTTGAAAAACTAATTGCAACTGTAATTGTATCAATTACTACTTTTTTTTTATTAAAAATCATAATCAAATAATAATTTAAGAATTTTATTATAGAAAATATATTGTTATTAATACTTTCTGTATTTGAGTTTTGTTTTGATTAATTTAGTTGGAAAAGAACCACCTTAAATAATGGCGTCTTTTATTCGCATTTGTTTAGCGGTAAATTTATGCATTTTATTATTTTATACAGGGGCAACTGCTAATAAATATTCCGCCGAAGCAAATAAACCGAAATATGAAAATCCTTTGCAATTTCCAACTTCTCTTCGTGAATTAGACAAACCGTTTCGTATGGCAAAGCTGAATGTACTTTGGGTTAAAGCAAAAAACGTGAGTATTATTGTTGCATTATAAAAGTACGCTGATGTATATGTGCCCAAAGAAAGTAATTAAGCAACTTTTTAATAGCGTTTGACCGATACGAAACTGCAATCGATATTTAGCGATTTGAAGATTCACGATAAAGAAGAAATTGCGTATAAGCATTTTAAATCCGATGGAAATGATCCAAATGGCGAGGAAGAAGCACGTCTGCGAAAAAAACTCATTGGTAATTTAATATTGATAGCGAAATACTTATTAGTATTATTAATAATACTTGTCCATTCTAAAATTTTGTATTTATGTCAAGGAATTATGAGCACATATGGATTGTTGGAACATTTTAATGATACCGAAGATCCAAAATTACTAAAGCAACATAAAGCATTAAACGACGGAAGTAACTATGTTGCTAAAGATGTGTTTAAAGATAAAAGGTTGAACAAATTATGGGCTAAAGCTGAATATGCTGGCTTTACACGTAAGTATATATCTTATGTAATCTTAACTTGTTAATCTATGAAAACAAATATCAATTTACATATTTCTCATTTCTGTTCGATAGACGAAGAATTGGAAACGTTGAAAGAAGAGTTTCAACATCATCAGGATAAAGTAGACGAATATATGAATCTTTTGAAAGATGTAGAAGTTGGGGATAAAGAAACACATGAAAGTGGGTAAAATAAACAATACATTAACAAACATAACAAAGTATCTTAGTATAAATTTCACGTTTAATATGTTGTTCAGATAGTTTGTATCAGAAGCCGGAAAGCTGGAATGTAATAGAAGAGAAAGAAGAAATTTCTAATAATGTTCCTGGACAGAAGTTAGATTATTTAGGAAAGGCAACTTTACTTCGGTATGTTTATACGTACACATGCGACGATCGTCACAGTTTTTGCAAATATCATAATGTAACGCGGTATTCTATTAATCGAGGATAAATAATCTATATGGAAGCATAGCACACGTATAATTTGTCTTAATTCACAGATTCTCGTGCGCCCATGCTCGTTCATGGTAAACTTTAACAAATTATAAATGTATTATTTTAGAGAAAAGCACTTGGAACTCAGAAATGGTTACGATCGTTTGGACAGATTAACCGCTACAGGTCCGAATCATAAAGAATTTGTAGAACCGAAAGTGCAAGGGTTGTGGCGAATTGTCTTGGAAGGTTCGTTCTCGCCGGAAGAACGAGCTTCTTTAAAGGTAATAATGTATAAAACAATATATCTTATATAACCCTTATTTGTACATAGAAAAACTGCAGCATGAACTATATTTTTGTCTGATAATTCATCGATATATATTGTACCATCTAGGAGGAACTTTTACATTACGAAGGAAGGTTACTCAAGTTACGCCATCTGCATACAGAAGCTGCTTTAGAAGCTGCACGTCAGGGGAAGCCATATGACATAGAAAACTTTACTATGCAACAACATATAAAAAAGCATGCTAGAACAATAGAAAAGCTTCATATACATCTTGAAGCAAAAATTACGCAAAATCACTCTGAACTTTAACACGTATTAAGAATAGTTTAACAAGTTTATATAAATTGTGTTACTTCCAAACTAACCAAAATGCGGAAATACGTTAAGAAAAATATTGTAATAACGTATTAAACGATTTAAGATTAATCTGACTAAAATTGTACTATTTTTTATAATTATTTTACACGGAATATTTATAAGAAATTTATTAAATTAAAAATTTGTATAATTTTACTATGTTTGTTATAATAAATTTTCATTATTTAATTACTTGACTAATATTAGAGATCCTTTAAAACGAGTCAGGAATTCTATGGTATGATATGATAAACATGTCGTTATTTCGTAACTGTTAGGCGTTCTAATTATTATACTGCTACTTGGTAACGCACGATACGTCGATATCGCTATGACAATTGCTAACAATTTGATATCTACTCTTTGGTGCTGAGAAACAAACTAAACACCTACAAATGTGCAAGTAACATTTCAATAAGTAATAAATTAGTTACTGAACAGTAAATTGAAATATATTTGTTATTTCATAAGTGTACGTAACGCAATATAATAATGGCAACAGCAATACAGGATCGTACTATTCCCACTATGGATACTTTGGTCAAATATGACAACCCGATTTTGGATACTATTCGGCCAGAAAAGGTTCAATTTTTATAGCTAACCATGTGCCGGTTATTTATGAATTGTAACAGAATTACATAATTAAAAAAACATAGTGTAAAGTAAGAATAAAGAGACGAACGGTCATAATTTTAATTCTGTATTTTGCTGCCAAAACAGATACGTAAAGAGACAGCACCAAAAATTGGTGCAACAGTTTGTAAAGTTCAAACGACTCCTCTTACGGTTGATATGCGACGCGAGACTGCCGATATTCTGAATAGGATTTTGCCTCCAAAACAATGGGAAGAAGATGGTCAAACATGGATTCAACAAGTATATATATTACGATATTCTTTTCGTCTAATATTATTAACTACTTTGATCATACAGGTGTCGAGTACGCCAGCAACAAGGCTCGATGTTATTAATTTGCAAGAGCAACTTGATATGAGACTACAACAAAGGCAAGCAAGAGAAACTGGTATTTGTCCAGTACGCAGGGAACTTTACACGCAATGTTTCGGTAAAATTTCAAACAATATAAATATAATATAATACATAAATAAATCGGACAATATAATTTTCTAGATGAAATAATACGTCAGGTAACTGTAAATTGCTCTGAACGTGGTTTACTTTTGCTTAGAGTTCGAGATGAACTCAAAATGACATTATCCGCATATCAGATTTTGTATCAAAGTAGTATTGCTTTCGGTATGCGCAAAGCTCTACAAGTACGTATACATTCTTCGATATACAGAGAGTATTAAAAATAGGTTTAGTATTTCTGAAGATTTCTTGTAGGCCGAACAAGGAAAAGAGGATTTAATTGCTACCGCGGATGAGCTACAGTTGCAAAAAAGTGACCTAGAGAAGACTGTTGCCGAATTGAAGCAGAAATTTGAACAGGCGCAAAAAAGAGCAGCTGAATTAAGAGAAGCTGAGGAGAAGAAACATATGGAAGAAATTCAATTTCTTAGAAAAACAAATCAACAGTTAAAGGTAAATACTTAGTGTGCATAAATATATAAGAAATAATTCTGTAAAAATTAATTTTTTTTTCAGACACAACTAGAAGGTATTATTGCACCAAAAAGATAAAATTATTATAAATTTAATAATAATAATTAAAAAAAAAAAAGAGTTTATTAATTTCTTACGAGTACTTTACCACATTTTATTTACCATCATGTAATAATAGAGCAAGTATAAAGATGTATATTTGCACTTATATATAAATTATTTTAAAGTAAATATTAACATATTTTATAATATTTAACACTATCATTGTTTCGGAATCATATTTATTGGTTATGTTATTTTTTCTGTACATACAAAAGTATTTTTTTTAGATGTTTCATTACTCGTTTATTAAAAATGACTTGATTTGTAAATTATTTCAGTTAAGATTGGCACTTTATATTTTTGTTAATATTCTGATAAATAATGACGTTATTGAATTTATTATTGTCACTGTAATGCTGACAAAAGATATACAATTTATCAAAAAAAAATTAGTTTGTTTTTCATTCATGTAATCTTACTACTAATGCAATCGATTGGTCCCGCTACCTTAATCACACTTTACACTACAGTTAATGGTGGACTTGATACAATCAATATTTACTATATCATTTTGCATGTATAATTTCAATGCATCTTAATATTAATAATATCGTCCGCTTTACTAAAACAATTTACATGATACATGTAAAACGACACTTTTATATTTAAAAGAATTTTTTTTTCTTATTACTGCCAGTATGTAGAAATTGAATAAGTTACATCTAAGATATAAACAATAATATTATCTTCCATTTTCCTTCATTTTGCTTTATATATTGCAATTTCGAACTAGTTTGCATGAAAATACGAGTACTATCAATTGATATTTGTCCATGTAATAATCGGTTATACATATATCTATAATGCAAAATTTTAATACGAAATTATATTTTAACAAAATTAAAATATAAATTCTACATATTCGAATTATTAAGTATTTTTACATTTCTTTTACAGATTGCCCAGTTTTTTTTTGTTAGTATATATTGAATACATGTTTCATAATACTAATTATAATCGTAATTGTTGTATACAATAATACAAACGTTATTCTTACATTCCTGTATTGTAAAATAAAATTTCATCAGTTATAAAATATAACAAACATCAGCATAAATAAATGAAATCAAATAAATTTAAAAAACAAATTCATTAGTATTATATTTAAAACAATTTGAAAATTGAATACCCCTATTCGTTAACTTTGCGGCAACTTTGACGAGAAATTGAATAATAATATGGAATAAATTTGTTTCTAAATGTGAATATCATTATAAAATAATTATATTCGATAATCAGGATAATACACATAAGTTTAAAATAAATTCCAATGTGGATTACGATAACTTTATATGACATATATATTAATTTACTTACTTCTAAGGAAAAATAAATAAAATACTTTACATACCACGATAACTAGATGTGTTTTACATTACTTTCATTTTAATGTTAGCTAAATATAACATATTTTACGTACACTTGAAACCAATATAATATTATATCATAATTTAATAAAAACTTTCCGCTTGCACGTTATTCCTATGCAGTAACCAAAATATTATTTTCTGTATTTTACCTAAATTGCTTATATTTTTTTAAATATAAGAATATTAAAATGAACGCGGTTAATGCGCTGTACTCAAATAATACGATAAAAGTTGTAACAAGGAATGTTTATCATTTTACATAGATTAATGTAAAAACGTTAAATCATATCGGCTACTATTGCGACATTACAAATTAACTTTTTCGAAAATTTCGTTCTACATAATTACTTTAAATAATTCCAACGATAAAATATATTTTTATTCAGGCTAAGCTGTTAAAGTTTATGAAAAAGATAATACAAAATACAAATTCTACAAAACATGAAATATGGAAATCGTTTATCAATTATTATGCTGCACCACTCGAGTGAAAGTATGACATACTAATGCTAATAAAAAAAAATGTATTATTTAAAATATGTTAATACCAAAAATATAGCACGGATTGTGTGAAAATTAAATATAGTTTTGACTGCACCTATGAATTACATTAAATCGTGAATGTAAAATTGCATCTTATGTATATATGTATGTGTATGCTTGAAAAAAGCAATGCGCAATGAGTGATTCGTAATACTACATGCACCAACAACACAGGGATTTCAAGTATGTAGTATGCAATGTAAATTGATTTAACACAAAATTTGCATTATTGGAACACATTGTCACAACGAAATATTCACTAAGTTCCTTGTACGTGTCTTTCTGTTTTTTATTTTATTTGCACCGATATTTTTATCTTACGTCAATGACGACCTTTTTTCGAACGTTTCCGTTTCTTTTTCTTTGAGGCAACGACTGCGTTTACACTGATTTTAGGCGCTGCATCCTCAGTCGCATTCGATGTGATGATTGTTTCGGTTTTCTCTTGAGGAGTACTCGCAACAGAAGACTGTCCAGCAATTTCTTCGCTTTCGCTTTCCGCATCGCTTGCTCCCGTGCCAGTAATACTCTCTATTTCGTCCTCTGCGTTACTTAATTCCAGTGAAATAATCTTTTCTCTTAGAGTTTCAACCTAGTTGTACAAATGTATACATTACACGTGTAAAAGAATGCTAAAATGGAGAAATTTTTGCATCGATATGGCACATTTTAAATGGCGTAGTTTAAATTAACAAAGTTTACGATAGCGTTATTTTAATATTTAATATGTACCGTTACCAACAGTAAAACTATGCTAAAGTATCATTCACAGAAAATATACTTGTACATGCTTAAGAAACTATTAGATAAGAAAAAACAGTAGTAGCATTACCAATAGCGTGAGAAGAGTTTGTTAGTGATCAGTGGAAATGAAATCAATTGCTCAAGGTGGTGCAGGTTGCACTTCCATGGTCAGTGTTGGATTCTTGGAACAACAAATATAACTATTGAACTAATGTCTCTATCACAGTTTGTGCATTGAAACAAAACATTTGTAGCAGTAGCATGCATAAACACCCGTATTAATTTTGTTCAACTTGTCCTTCGCAGACTAGAGATACACACACACACACACACACATATACACATATATATATCAATGGATTAGAATGGTACACGTGAGTCTGAAAGGTTCGCTAAACCTGTATTAAAAATTTTGACCTTTCATTTCTTTTTTGACTATTTCAAAAAATCATCAGCGTTTACGTTATATTATTTGTTACTGGCCCAGGTGATTTATATAATTTTTATTATATCGTTCCTTGTAGCAAAATTTTGAAATGTCAGAAGTTTAATTATATGTGCATTGTATAAAAAATTTTCTAAACGAATGTAGCTATAAAAACTAATTCTAAATGAAAATCTTCTAATATCAGTGAAATGTCGGTTAAATATTTTTGAAGTGCCAGTACAATACTTTGGAAATATCTACCATCTAAGAAGTATTTTATGGCTTGCACTGAGACCGTTCGTAATCCGTGACGTGACGTGACGTGACGTGACGCGATCAAAGAATTTTCGGTGCTTATATTCTGTGCAAATTCTAGAATTTATAGTACCTGTCGCTCAATGAGCTTCTCGACGTATTCGACAGTTCGTACACGACGTTCACCCGTCACCTCATCCACATATTCCTCGGTACGTCGAGTGACCTTCTCGTCCACTACTTTTTCGGATTCGCGTATCTCTTTAGGGGGACCCACCTTGCTGCGTACAGCAAGTTTGGGAAAATCTGCACTAGACGGCCGTAACGTAGTGAACTATGATAGTAAGACAAATAAGGCACCGTTGTAGTTACAAAACATTGTAATACACAAACGCTAGAAGTTAGAACCATAGACGAGCAGAGTAGTAATTAGTAACCAATGAAGTTAAATTGATGTGATAAAAAATGATGAAATTGGTTAATTTGTTTCAGAGACATCGTTAGATCACATAGTTACTGATACTGGTATGGTCGATGCAAGCATATTCTTTGAATGCTTACATCAGCTGCTTTATCCGATTCAGGAGAAAGAGTGACGGCATCTACAGAGTCCTGTATCGCATCCGTTTTATTCGTACTGTCCATCATTTCGCTCATTTTTTTTATTACTATTTGCGCTTGGAGAGCATCCTAAATGTGAACGTGTAATATACATAAATTGATTTGAATGACCTAAATATTATTTAAATAGTCAATTTTAATAGAAACATGCATCAAATTAGAAAAACTAATAATCTTTTACCTGTTCCAGAGATTTCAAACGTGCCTGTCTCCATGCTGCACGCTTTTCAGCTCTTAGTACTCTCTGCTCGGCAGGACTCAGATGACTTTCTTCATCTTCATCCGAAATTATACCCTATGAACGAAGAGAAATATTTGATAAAAATTGAAGTTTGCATCAAAATTTCATTTAATATTTTAAATCAAAACAATCTTCTTTATTTCTTATATTCGCATTGAATCATTTCAATCGATTATTAACATTTCAACAAAAATTTATATTCCTCATCTCTTTCGGACTTGATAACAAATATTATGATACTTAAATTTGCCTAATTTTTTCCGGATTGATTTAGAGTACGTGATCGATATAAATATAAAATTAATTGCAATGATTAAAAAGATTCAATAAAATCAATACCTCCTGTACCAATCTCTCCTTCAAACGGCGTTCTGCTTTTGCTGTCCTTACACTGCTTGGAAGGTTCTGCAGAAGGAGGATCGAACTTCGCGAGCTCAGTCGGCTACTGCAAGGTAACGAGCATGCACACTGACAAATCATATACATGTGCCAAAATTTTTATATTTATTTGTTAAAAAAAAGAGGTACAAAAGCAACGTTCAGTACAAAGGCAAAAGGGATATTACATGACTTATATACAAACGATAAAAATACAAAAGTAAACTACGTTACACAACAACTAAATCTATGAATAATAACAGGGATCGGTGCTAAGAGATTCTAAAAAATAATTATGTCCACGATATTCTTTGAACGTGGATGTCAGCTTTCTATAAATAAAACCACAGACGAATGTTAGTATTAAATAAATAATAACTATTCTCTAGAATCTTTCAAGTGCGCTTGCTTGCAGTGCGTGCGATGAACATTGTGCTGAAGCATACGTTTGTAATTTCAAACATTATACTTGAATACACATAGTTTTCGTCAACTTAATCACCTCGTCTTATCGAACGAATAACGTAATTTTATTGTGCATTAAATACCTATGCAAGCATAACCACAACCTTAACTGCAAGGTACGTGAAGGTATGTGAATGTGAATTCCTAAGCCTATGTACAAATATACGTTATTCTATAAAAAGCAGTCGCTAACACATAACAAAATTATTTGTACGCTGGTTCTAAGAAGCATGCATAATGTAATAAAATAGTAGTCAAAACGGGAAGCACCTGTTACGAGATATACACATGTCAGAATTTGTCGTAGCTATAAAAATACTGATATTTACATAATATTCAGTCATTTTGTATTATATTTTAAGGAAACATCTATGTACTAATCGATACCATATGACTTTCTCGACTATAAATCAACTAGAAAAAAAATATTTGTTATATTATTTTGCCAACCATCGGTTAATAGTCGATAATAAGATGAATATAAATATTTTTCAATTAAAAGATAGCTGCCTCGTACAATACTTATATAGTATAATAAAAAGGGCTATATCTAATATCTTACAACTGAAAGGCATAACTTCTATAATTACAATGTTCTATATATTTCTATGTACAGAAACATGTTTAAACCAAAAACGTGCATTAAGTAAAGAAATGCTATAATACTCATGTATGCGAATACGCTAAAGTAAATTAATTTAATTCTCTTCTTTTAGTTTTACGATAAGTAATTGAGATCTATCGAGGAGATCTAGTGCCTCACTATTACAAATCTTTAAAAGATCGTGTAATGCATACTCGAGTTAAAGCGTATTAACTTTCAATACGATCAAATTTCAAACAATTATATTATTGCATACAAAATTTATAACTAATTGAAAATGATCAAAATAGTATTCTATTACTAATTCAGAAAATGAGACTTTGTATTGCCACCGTTTTCTATCATTGGATGGTATACAGACATGAGAGATGGAGACAAAGAAAGAAATAAAAAGGTAATAAGATTTTAATCACCACACTTTCAAATGCGTAGAATGAGTACAACTTAGCTTACTTAGGCCGTCGATTATCCTGATCTTCTAGAGTTTCCTCCATATCTTCTAAACCTTCGTTTTCGTCAAGTTGAGCCCACGATTTTAATTCATCTCGTGTCAATGTGGCAATTTTTTTTTCTAAGAATACATAATAATAAATTATAATTGTATCGATTATTGATACATCGGAAGACATCAAGAAAATATTAATAAATAGTCTACCTTCTTCTTGTTTCATTTTCTCAACTTCGTCCTGGCTTAAAAAACTGAATACTTTCTCTGAAAGAAACAACAGAAATGTATAAGTAACGCGTACATTACCCAGAATCCGTTCAATTAATTGCTTTAATTCTTATCAACCTGGCTTAGGGGAAGGCTTTAGATGTTCCTCCATGGCACTTTCAAATAATTTCTTTTTGTCGCTAACTGACATCTTTACTAGAGGTGGTGTCGGAGATGGTGTTGGTGACAGCTGTATTTTGAAAAATTATATTAGTAACAATATTCTATAAGATACTCTATGTAATGCAACCACTTCGAAACAGAAATTCATGCGGAAAATTCATTAATTATAATTTACCATCATCCCTAGTATAAACACAGAAGTAATTGTTAGCGTTCTACCCGATATGCAAACCATTGAGACTGTTACATACTAATAATCTAAGGACATTTCCCAATTTGTATTGAAGTAATACAAAATAATCTAACGAATGTAAGTTATATTCGAATGCAATAGAATTCTACAGTTCAAACGTACCAACATTCTCAATAAAGAATATATATATATACAAAAAAAAAAAGAGTAGTGCATTTAAACAAGCATTGTAAACCCACCTCAACCTGAATATGACCGTCAACAGAGCGTGCGGTCTGTCGCTTGTTAAAAGAAGCTGAAGTGCCAAAATGCCCCGGGGATGTAGGAGAAGTTAAAGGTGTTGGAGGAAGTTTAAAATGGCAGTGAGCAGTTTGGGTAGGACTATGGTAGACTTTCTTGTAAGAAATAATTTGAGGATCGGATGTACATTTGTCATGCGGAGACAGAGATCGTTCTCCCTTGATAGCGGTCGGAGAGATATAGTCGATTGATTCTTCTTTAGAAATTGGAGGAAGATTGGCGAAGGTTATACTACGCTTTGGTATAGAATGTTTTTTCTTTGGAGATGGCAAGGTTTGGGCAATAGCAGTACGATTAAAATTCGTCGATGGAGTAAGAGTAGAGACTGGAGACTTTGTTGACGAATAATTATCCATTGATGTTCCACTTCTCTCTTTCCTTAGCGACTAAGTAAATAACACGAAGAATTGTATTAGTGAAATTAATGCAAGTCTCTATTATACGTATATACTAGGGTACAATAAATATGTAAAACTATAGTTATAAACTATATAAATACCGTATAAAAATCAACGCTAAAGCTAAAAACCAACACTTCTAATTTCTACAATCTTAAACAAGAATATATATCTTCCCCTTGTTCTTTAAGTTTCAAAGACTGATCTGTATACAACTTGTAATTATACTTTAAAAACGGATTTATTTTTTCAGTACTACATCTCATACAAAATCTATATCAGAATTAAAAAGGAATCAGTTTTGAACTTATTTATCCAATCTTCTTTTTTTACCATCTATACATTCAATATTATATCAATTGTACTATTATTGCAACAATTCATCCAGCTTTGCACACGATTTTATTCGTGTACCCTTCCAATGATTTTAAACATACTAAAATCGATTTTATAAAGTTATTTCACATTTGTACCCTATCCATCATCTTTTTATACATATCAATGTATCGCAAGAAATTCTGAAATATCGTAATTAGTTCATTTTTATCCCAGATTGTAATTCATTAACAGGAACTGTAGTTTCTGTGTCGCTAAATATGAACATGGAAAAATTGATTCTCTCACAGTTTATAGTATCACTGGGATAAATATAACTACTTTCAGAAGAACTTGGCACATCGATATATCCGAATAAAGCACTGCACGTCGTATTTAATTATTATGTCGGTCAACTGGAACTTCAACATTAACATCATTTTATTTTATAGTTAGATAAATACTATCTTACGTTTATACTTTGTAATAATATATAAACATCTGGTCCATTAGATTTATATCAACATATAACATTTATAGAAAATTTGTAGAATACAGTACATTGATTTATATATCAATAATGATATGAATTTACTGTAGCAGTAATGATCCAATAGTGCCAGCATTTGTAACTGAGAAAAAATGCTAGACGCATAAATACCTTATCAAATAATATTTGATGTCTCAGGACATTTTTTCTTTCTCCTTTACTTTAAACTGTACATCATTTAATACGTTAAATAATTAGTATTGGGTATATTTCCTCAATTAGTGATACACGCTTCGATTATTCTCTTTTGTGTTAAGTAATTAAGCGAATAAAACATAGAAAAGTACCTATAGGTTTAAATGTAAATAGTAAAACACTCTATCTTTCTTCACGTGAATTGCACGAAATTTTCTTAACGATAAAAAAGATATATCCATCGTTATTCGCTACATATCATCTCAAAACAATTGTACTAATAACATTAAAATAGATTTATATTTTCCTATATCAGAGAATACTATACAAACAAAATAGTTAAAAATAGTATATTGAAAATGTCATAAGTGGTAATACTTCTAAATTCGACATTAAATTGTTTCTAAAAAGAAAAAAACAAACTACCGCTCTTTAGATACAAGAATGTAGACTCTTGTTTTTTCCAACTACCGAGTCGTGTATCACAAAGAAAAACATTAACAAACGGAAATACCTGTTTTTTGTATAGAATGAAAGTTTGAAGTATATTAATATACGAGTCTCGTCACAAGTATGTATAATAATATACTTTAACTTGTCATTCGCATCAAAGACGGACAAATATATCTACTGCCACCGTAGTTATCCTTTCTTACTTTCAGTAATTTCTGGTATAGTACCCAAGAGAAGTTCGCGCAATTTTTTAAGCTCAATCAATCAATTACAGCAGTCACCCATTCAACATTTTTTGTAACATTTTAAAATAGATTGCAAACAAGTCTAAGAATCAATGTACAAATATATCGCTAAAAAATATCTGTTAAATACATGGGAAGTTCTCGTCTATGTCTTCTGTCTATCTATCACAGAAATATCTTTTCATTTTCTTCTTTTAACCGATATTTACGAACGAAGGTGCAATGAATATGTACACGAGAGTCTGTAGTTAAGGAAGATATAACACACTTTTCTGACGATTAAAATCTTGACCCCCAACTGGACCAAAGCAAGAAACCAATCACAAAATCAACTCAGCCAGTCAGCGTGTTTGCAATAATACACTTAACATTATAATGGCAGTATCAGTAACAAACGGAGTAACGATAGTAATTGCATATAACAATGATACCCATTGATGAAACGCAATAAACAGTGATTATGTGAGTTAACGACATGAATTCCTTAGAATAATTTATTATGGCACAGTCCCGCGGATTCAGAGGTATGGACGTAGACACAGGGAAAATGAGTAGAGGATCGAACGACTCACTCCTGTTAGAGGGCAGCCAAAGTAGCACTATCACCTTCCACTGTCTGTAAACATGTGAAATATCTCTTGTTTTGCTGCTCAGGAGAGCATGCGACGCTAAGAACACTGACAAATGTACATTTCATGCGTCATGTATTAATAATTAAGTTGTGAGATTCGTGATGGATGTGTAGCAAAGACAAATAATAAAAACGTTGTAGCTGTAAAGAATTTGAATATTTGTCTAAATTTATGTTAAGCGTAATACGATATTATCGAAAATGTGATAAATGATAAATTAAAAAGGTATTTTCACGAAAATTAAGAACTTTGTTATTATATTCCGATGTTCATTTTCATAATAACTTTAACGAAGGGAACTAAAATACATTTTAATGAAATCTACTTCTCATGCGTATGCACACGTATAAGGATGTACACAAATGCATAATTTACAATCCATTTGTATAGGATAAAATTTGTAATATGTCAATCGTTAATAATAGGGAAGAGTTACGTTCTTTTTAGTGACATCACATTGTACCATAATAATTTTTCTATTTTCAAACTAATCAAGAACTATCATTTTTCTATACATTCGTCATTCATAGACTATAATATTCAAGTGTGTCCCTCCTTTTGTTCCAATGCCATTAATAAAGAGTGTAATATTTTTGTTAATAAATTATACATGTATGTATCCGCAAATGAACACACGCATACACACATGCATACCCACACGCAGATTCGTACGTATGAAGAGATAAATGTATGATTTTTAACTAATAATAAAACATGCAAAAATCGTGCACTCCTAGTAAATAAAACTCAAAAGAAAAAGGTAACAACGTTAAATTAAAAATAATTTATACGCTAAGTGTTCCATAAATGAAATGTATAGTATAATTACGAAGAATAAAACAATAACAGTGCTATAAAATTAAATTATAACAAAGGGAAAGGAATCAAGCATTTATAAATGCATGAATAGTAATGATTTATAAATTATCCATAAAAAATTACTAACAATACAACCAAGGGTTTTAAGGTAAGATAAGTAAAATTGAAGAATTATTTAACTCTTAAAAAATTTTGTTTTATATTATATGAATTTTATAGTTCAATTATAGTATTGGCATAAACAAAATCCAGTTAGTAAAATCAATTACTACTTGCAAATTAGTTGATACATTTACAAACGTGCAAATAATTTCCAGTTCAAAATCAATTATAAAAATCATAAAAGTACTTACATTTGTATTTTGAGGTGCTAAAGTGTGTTTGCTCATCACAATAGTAGTTGTTTTGAGATCTTTTGTACCACCTGGCGATTTTGGTGGCACCATGTCAACAGGACTATTGGATTTGCTTACTAAGGATTCAGCTGCTCTAACTACATCCAATACCTATACGATAACAGAATATTTCATATTAACCCGTAATATGCTTTCACTGTATTCCTAACGATAGACAAGGGAAATGAATATATGATCGTAAACCTTACTTTTTCGGGAGTCGATTTTTCTCTATGCTCGATCAAAGCACGTTCCCGTTCTTCTTGTTCCCATGCAACAAGTTCAGCTTTCATTTCTTGTTCTTGTCTGAGAGTTGCAGCTTCTTCATCGTCGCGATCCAAACTGGACACACTCTGTGACAGAGACTTAGTGCCATCTGTTGCAGGATCCTTTAATTCTTTAGACGTTCTAGACTCTTTAGATTCTCTACCATCGGATACTGGCAATATAGGCTCGACTTCATTTTTATCATAACCTTTGCAAACTACTAACGTAATTGTATTTCCCGAACACCGAAGTATATTTACTGCTTCTTGGTGAGTCGCGCCTAGTAACGATGTACCATTCACTTCGAGTAGTCTCATGCCCACCTATAATCAAAGATACGCAAAAATTTTCTTTCGTGAAGCATTTGCTACTAACAGAAATAGTGACTATTACAAATATTACCTTCAGTCTTCCGTCTCTTTTAGCTGCACCACCGGAATTAATCTTAGATATAAAAACTCCCTCGTCTGTATGATCCAGGGGGTTACCCTTTTGTCCTCTAAGTCCACCTTTAATGTGCATACCCAATTTTTCACCCGGTTCTTTTGTAATAACCAATTCCTAAAATACAACAAATAATTAAAAATAATTTCAAATGTATATTTATTAATACTGTATTGTACAACGTTTGCAAAATGTCAATATTTATTTTCTCATTCTTGTCTTAAAGTAATAAAACTTCTAAAAGAGTTAACGTTCTGTATGAGAATTTTATGTTTAAATCTGTATACGAAATATTAAATAATAAATCAAACACATATATGGTGATCACCATATTATAGCGTTCTTTTAATGTGGCATGAAGCATGTGAAGCAATTAAAAAGACAACTGTGAGATTCTATACAATCTCAGCATAGGCGGAAAAAGCAATTGTTTATGATTTGGTGCTGAAGTGCGGCCTTTATAGAAGAATAAGCACAGAATCAAAAAATACAAACAGGTCAAATAATTTGAGTACTTACTGTCACAGGGATGTACTCTATTTCGACCAGCTTGTAGGACAAATTATAAATAACGGTATTAGGTGTGGAAACTATCGTGAGTAAAGCACCCAGTGTCATTGTTTACAAATAATTAGCATTAATCGACAAACATAACGAGATAAAAGTTTTCCGATACTTTGCTGAATGACCAATAAACAAAGAACTAATAACTGTATCATTGTTTATCAAAATGTACAGTCTTAAAAAAGTGATTTCAAACTTTTCTGCATTTCAGATTTCTCTTAACTACTCTTGTTGGACTTAAATTTGTTAAATATTTGTAAATATCGAAAATTACAATAGCTAAGTGTTATGATAAACATTCACCGTGAATTTTATGATTCGCGCAATTGCATTTTCGTAAGCGTGTTTAAACTAGGAAGCTATTCCACAGTTGAAAAGCAAAAATTTTGTGCAATTACTAGCAAGCAGTGAGGTAAATAAATTACGAATAGATTACCTGATAATTTTCCGGTAATGGATCATGTTGAACTGTAAGCATAATTTGATCTCCCGGTCGTAGTAGTTCCATCACAGCCTCTTGATGAGTAGCTTTTGTTACATCTGTACCATTTACTTTCAGTATTCTGTCACCCATTCTTAATTTACCAGATTTTGCAGCTATACCTCCAGGCACAACCTAATTTTAATACAATATTTACAATACTATTTTTTAATCAATCACAATTAGAATGACAATAATATACAAATATACGTATGGATGTAAAACTTACATGAGATATAAAAATTCCAGGTTCTTTTGCACCAAACGGAGTGCAGGAATGATCTGTACCTCCAATGATACTGAATCCTAAGGATCCTTCTTTTACAAGGACGACATCCTAAACAATAAATGTTTGATCGTTATTTAAATAGAATTTATAAAGAATAGAAGGTGCTGTATACGTTCGTTTTCTTTAAATAAGATTCTTTAAGAAACAATGAATGGTGACAGTGAGAGAAGTATAAAACTTAAAAGATATTATACTAGAGTTACAGAGACAATGAAGAAAGGAATTGTAATTTATAATTTTAAATCATAAATACATTGGTTTAACCTATGAAATGTAGAAGAGGAGAATGTACTTATAGTTTATGCTACTTACCTATTTCCATGCCAGAGGATAAGCACCCAATGTATCAAACAATACAACATCCCATATTACCAAATTTCTAACAAATATTTCCAATATGTATCAAAACGACAGCAATGAATTTAGAATGTATAAGCATGCAGCAAAGTAAAATATACTTTACAGAAATAAACCGAAAACACATACAAACGATGTTAACAATTTTTAATTCGTTTTTCGTCGGAAAGTCGATCAACTGTCTTTATAAAAATATTGTTTAAAAAAAATATTTTCTTTATCGAACATGCAAAAAGAAGGAGACCGCTTCACCATTATATTCTAAGTTATTTAAAATAAACGATCGATTCTAATGAAATAAGTTTTTTAAATGTTGTGATATCCGTGGCGTTTTATTATGAAAAGATGAATATTGAAATGTAGATAATCAACATTTACCAGTAATCGTGATTATCATCCAAGCATGGAAATAAGTTAATAAATAACGGCTATTAGTGTTCGAGTATTACTTAAATTATTTAAAAGGTGCAGACTGTTCCCGTATTCTAGTTAATTTTATTAACATTGAAAGATTATAAAGCAAATTTCATCAAAATTTCTATCAATTGCGAATACTTTAGTTTAATTATGGAACAGAATTAAAGACGACTGTCTCGATTGAATTATTTCCACAAACTGCATGTAAAATATAATTCGTGCATCTAACTACCAAGCACATACCTCGATAATTACTGGCTGTACCGACTGGTTGTCGGTCACCCTAGTAACGACGGTCTCGGTGAGAGTGCTCTTTGTGATGGTCTCAGTAACTTTACCAAGTGTAGTGGGAGCCGGAGGAAAATTAACATCTCCAGGTAGATTATCAGGCTGCTTTATTGTCACTGTCACGATAGGGCCTTGATGGGAGTCTGGAGGTGACGAGGAAGTAGGAGGACGGAGGAAATGTGCGGGAATCATAGCCTGAAATTCTTCGTTGGTGATAGGCTTCGATACCTGTATGTCGTCCTGGGGTGAGATTGACCTAGGCTCTGTAGAAGATGTGGGCGTCGAGGTTGCAGTTGTTGCGAGTGCGATCGTCGGTTGTGAAATGCTATGCCTCGGAGCAGGCTGTGGATGCGGCTGGCTATTTGTTGGACTTGGCGATACCGAAGAAACGTTTTTAATAGTTCCAGATTCTGTAACACCGTTCATTTTGGGCATCTCAGCGGTTTCAATTTTCATAGGCGGTGGTGTCTTCGAAGTAGGACTCGGTGATAAAGCTCTGTCGGCATCAATAGATCGCCGATATCCGGTATATCCTGGTCTATTCGCTATATAACTATTGGCACTATATAATCCTGTATACGGTTTAGGTGCGCCAATTACGCGTGGTGATTTTTCCGATGGTGTTACAACTGTGGCTGCGTTTGCTTGTGAAAGTGGTATTTCACGTTCGACTACCAATCGAACGAATCTTTCCAAGCCTGTTAATAAAGCAACTGCCTGCTCGTGCTTAGCTCCTCTCATTTCAACTCCATTAATCTAAAATATAATGTTACAATATATTTCAGATAAAATGTACAAAAAAGAAACGAAAAAGAAAAGATATTTGTCATCAATTACAATTGACGTGTGTTAAAAAAGAACTTACAGATATTACTTTGTCTCCGATTAATAATTTACCGTCTTTCTGTGCCACACCACCATCGGTTATTCTTGAAATATATATTGCCTAAAAAATTATATTTGAAACAATGAACATCAAATTAGACGAAAACAATATTAATAATTATACATATATAATGTAATTTGTCAATAGTTGTATTATATTATATCTTACATCGCTATTGTCCTTGAATGGTGGAGAACCTTCTCCGCCAGCAATACTAAATCCAAGTCCATTTTGGTCCCGTATTAATGTTGTATGTACAAGGACAGACACCATTGGTTCAGTACCTTGTTTCACCGTGGATATAGGTTCCGGAATTTTCTTGATCTAATTTCGAAAATTGAATATATCTTTAAAGGTTATGTTTATGTTTATATATTCTACATAAAATGTGTAACCATCGATTAGCAAACTGTATACCTTAATAGTTTCATGAGGTAAAGAAGCATCGCCATTTTCTAAATTATGCGGCAAACCTGTAGATGAAACATGAGACGTAGCGCTTGGTGCTCTACTCGTACTCAAACTAGAGCACACCGAATCTTTCCTTGATGTCTGTTAAATATTATAAAAGTTAATTTGTAATATAAAAGAGACGTATTTAAGAATCGGATACCTGTTCATATGGCGGTAATATCCTTGTAACTTCTCTCTGAACTACTAATACAAGAACACGTCCGCATGCTTTTAGAACTTCTACAGCATCATAGTGACCTACGTTTACTACTGAAACTCCGTTTACAGATAGCACTTTATCCTCTACTTTTAAACCTGCCAAATCTGCGGGCCCACCTATAAAGTAGGATTATATTTTGTAAGAGTATTATGTAAACGATGTACATATTATTTTACACTTAACTTATACATATTTAATGCTTTTACCTTCGGTAACTCTGGAAATAAAAATGCCTTCATCGTCACCTTTGAATGGGGTTGAACCGATACCACCAGCTATTGACAAACCAAGACCACCTGTCGTTCTCTCAATATGAATCTCATATTGTTCCTCTCGTACTTCTATCGTAGGTTCAGCATCGGATATCGCACCTATGCAGTAATAGAATTAATTATTCTACAATACATGGAGGTATGATAATGATAAGTTTATCAAGATTCACCACTGTTTCTTATTTTTCTCACAAAACATCTGAACTTTTTAGGCATTTTTAATCACTAACTTCATAAATAATATCAACTATCACTTGTATTTTTAATGGAACGGTTTTACTGTGTCATTTTCTCTTTTTATTAGCACATTCGCTATAGTAAAGTAGATTGATAATCAGATAACAGATAAGATAGTTGATGGAAAAAGTATATCTTATCATGGCCTCTCTGTTTGCTGTCAGCGATTACGAAACAGTCATACCGAGGAGTCTGGAAGGCATACGCCTCCATTCAATGAAGTTTATAAGATATAACACGTTGTAGAATACGATTTTTAAGTCACTATTATTTAGCATTGCGGTATATATATAGTAACGGTATGTAATAAGAATAAAACGTGATGTGTACACCAAGAGGAAAGCAAGTGTTGTAAGAAAGTTTACGACTATTTTACCTTGGCTCTGAGTGTCGAAATTTTCTACAGATTCCGTAGGTGCTGATGCAGGTACAGCAGGTTCATCGCTTTTCTTCATAAGTGCCTATATACGGTAAGACCAATAAGTTGTGTCACGTAATAATGAACATTATTAATAATCGTTAATATCGCATGTAAAATTAAGCCGAAAATGAAAAATAAAATTATTTTTACTTATTTTTGCATCTAGAATTACATCTTGCTTAATTGTACCATTCAATTCAGGTTAACCAGCATATTTTAGATTGGTAACCAACTTACTTGTGCAATAATGGAAGCTACCTTTTCCTTATCCACGGCCGTATGGATACGTTTATTCTTTAAATGGTGTGGAGTGTCTCTACGATGAAGTCTATTGGGTCTATTCGAATCACCGCCACCTTCGTAATCAGTACCCTCTGCTATAGAAAATTCTACGTGTCTTTGTATTTCCTCATTTTCGGATTCATCATTTCCATCCTTTGATTCAGATACCGAACCTTCCATTCCCATATCCTACGAAAATGGTTAGGTTAATAAATAAATAAATAAATAAATTAATATACTCTTATTCCCACGAATACTTACAGGATTATATTCTGTAATATATTGATTGGAAACCACTTCTGGTTCATTATTAGATCGAAGGTCTGTATTATCGTCTAATGTTCCAGGTACAGTTTGTTTTTGTTCGTTTTCTATAAATTCAGTATTTACGAGTTCTTGGTCTGTAGATAGATCTAAATCGTTAGGTTTCATTAGCGTATCAGTCTCAGCTTTATCTAAACCAAATGTTTGAGAAACATCCTGAAAAAGTATCGTTTCCCAAGTTTAAAAATACCGTATGTAATGAATTTATATTTCTTCTTTAAGAGATAATGTTTCTTTGTAAAGGAAAGGTTTCAGTAACGTAAAGTTAAAAGTAAGAGTTACCTGTTCGTCAGTAGATGCCGACCGACTGTCGCTCTTTCCTTTACTGAACAATTTGTGAGCTTTGGCTTTCAATTCTTTCGGATGCGGTGTATTTTGTCGTACAAACGGTGTCTGAAACGAGTACAAAGTCTTGCATATGTACCAATATAATCATACGAAACAAGTGGTTAGGAGAACGAAAAAGACAATGTTGTTTAATTTTCAGTTAATATAATTTTCATACAATGAGTCATAAGAATAAGAACGTTTCCAACACATGAAGCATCTCAAGAGCTTTGTAAATCTAGACCTAAAGAAAGTAGCAGAGTTTGCTATATAGAGCGGGCTCACCTCCTTATCAGTTTCCGGAGGTTCATCTGTGAATTTCACTGAATGCGTTCGCGATGCTTCTTTTTCTTGCCAGCCTTCATCGTCGCTGCTACCAAGCTCCCGTATTTCGCCACCCTGAACAGCGTTTCTCATTCCAACCAACATACCAACTCTTCCTGAATCTAATTTAAACAAAATTATATTAGCCACGGTTCTCTGCTGGTCTATCGCATCCGTTTAATTATAACGATAAGAAATGAATACACTAACCATCAGGATGGGATTCCAATTGCGGTAGGAGGAAGCAAGTTAATACCTCTTGCTCGGTTTCTTCATCGATATCCGTTTGGAAAGTAAGCATTGGTTGGGCTTGGTTTTCACTTAACCATACTGCCTTTAAGTTCAAATTAATCAAGGAATATGGCAAGTATTGTAATCTGAAAGATGAACATTGTTATTAAATATATTAATATTACGATTAAAGTTACACACCTGTTGCCGGATATGTCCAAGACATGAAGAGCAGTGCACTGACCAACTTCAGCCGGAAGATATTGCAACTTATTGTCTCTTAAAGAGAGTACGCCCAATTTTTTCAAATTTCCTGGAGTAAAATAATCGTATATATGTATATATATATATATATAAAAAAAGAAAACTGTTTCACTATTATTAATGTATTATCTTAATAAATTCCCCTTACCAATTTCAATCGGTAGCGATTGCAAACTATTTCTATCCACATTTAAATTGTTTAGATTAAGAAGTTTTCCTATGGTTGCAGGCAACTCCAAGAGAAAATTTTCCGTAAGAATTAATTCTTGCAGATTCTCGCACCTGCGACAAAAGATGATTTCCGTTAATCGTAGAGTACATCCAACCGAGTATCAACATTTTCGATAAAGAAAGAAATTCGAATCCTACCTGCCTATGTTCGAGTTTAAAGTAGAAAGCCTATTTTGATCGACTTTCAGAATAGTAAGCTTTTTCAGTTCCCCAATACCATCGGGCAACTTTTCGATAACGTTTTGGGATAAATGCAAATCCGTTAAGGAACCTAGACCGCCGATTTCTTCCGGAAGATCTTCCAAACGATTTTCGGATACGTCCAAGCACGCTAATGTTTTCAATTCTCCGATTTCCGGTGGCAAATGTTGCAACTGATTATGATCTAGCCATAATTCTTGCAACGCTGGCAGTTTTCCTATATGCGCCGGCTAAAATAAAAACACGCAAGATTCTCAACGATTAACGATAGTTTTAATTGGACGTAATTTTGTTCGTCAATCATATTATACCAATTCCTCGATGTCATTGTCGCCGAGATCTAGCCGTTCCAATTTATAAAGTTGAGAAAGCGACTCGGGCAAGGACTTGAGCAAGTTTTCTCTCAACTCCAGTGATTGTAACGCCTCCAAGCTGAGAATAATCCGAACAAATTCGTCAGCGTCGAAGCAACAAGATTTAATCGAACGATTCGAATGTAATTAACGCGAATTATTTCTCTTATACGTTACCTTCCGAAGTCGGGCGGTAAATTCGTGAGTGACATATCGTTAAGTCCTAAAACAGTTAGGTTCCTTAACTGCACGAAGCCAGCCGGAAGCCTGAAAATAATAAACGAAAATTTTCATTTAATTCCCATACAGAGTAAACAACCATCGAATAGGCGGGACGGACAAAGAAAAGTTAAATGTATCGACCTTGGAATTGGATTGCTACTGAAGTCCGCCACCTGAAGTGCCCGTAAATTCTTGATGTTCTCAGGAATGTCTGGTATATCTGTAATAAAAAGAAGAGAAAAAAAACAAGCGATGCCGATATTCAAGTACGAGTCGAACAATCGAACGATCGACACCTGAAAGACGGTGTTGCGTAAACGAGTCGAAAGAAAATTCACGAGAGGAGTAGAAGAGCGTATAACGTGTTTAGTGTAATAGATCTTTTATAAAGAGTATCGCCACGTTTCATAAGAAATACACGATTCCAGATCATCTTCTCTAGCCCGTCCTTTCTTTACTATACTTTCCTCGCAGTATCGACCCAACGGAAGGATATACATACGCACGTATTACAGTGGTTTGTTTCAACAAAGAAACGCTTGTAAAGATTTGCTTCTCTTCTAAATCTGCCATTCTAAGTTTATCTTGGAATTGTTCTATACGTACGCTTGTAGTCGTTGGTTCGCATCGGTAATCGTTTCGCAGTTTCTTCGCCGGAATGGAAACGGTGTCGGGCAGCATTTAAAATCGGAAGGAATCGGAAAGTAATTTAATCGCTTTGAATCGTCGATAAAATACTCGGCCGTGTCTCGTCATCGCGTCACGACGACGAATGGAATTCGAGTTTTCCGATTCGTCGCGCGCTACTATTTCTCTCGTCTTACGTAAGCTACGCTGGTTATTTTTCCCCCGTATGACAATTCAGATGCACGGGGAACTCGAGTGAATTTTTCCTCGGCTGGAACACTCGTTTTCGCTTTTCAGGCCGATGTTATCAGAGCTCAAACGAGCTCGGACAAATAACGAGAAACGAAAGCGTTCCCAGCGCGTAAGTATCGATTGACCGGCACCCGTGCGTTGCATAATTAGCCACGCCATGGCACCGATGATTAATTTATTACAGGAAACAAAGTTGTGGAAACAAATGACAAATTCGTTCGAAGAAAATGTGCGTGGTGCATAATCGATTCGTGGCTAAACACTGGTATCGCGAAGGAATGCAGGATGCCGTTGTATGAGATAATATCGCATTCCTGTTATTCCCCATAAGGCCGAGTAATTTCACGAACGAAGGTGAAAAGTAACCGAGCAATTCCGAACGCAGCAGTACCAGGACCGAACCCGATCGCGTATTAAAATTTGTAAAAAAAAGTCAACGAAAATGGAGCAATCGTCTCGGTTCGTGAAACGAGAGCTTTTATCGTCGATAACGTTTCGGAAATGTATAGGTTACGAATTGTAGTATCCGCGCCTCCCATACCCAACAATAAGGAGTCAAATAAGAACACGAAACGTAGGATACGGGATTGGTCGCGTAGTTAAAGCGGTCGACTGTGGATCCGAGGATCGTGGCTTCGAATCCCCGTGCCTTATTTTTCGTTTAGACTCCTACAGAATATAGGTACAGGTATTCGTATACGACCATGGGTACTTGTGTGCGTGTATCGCGACACGTTACGCGTACATACACGTACGGTGTCACGAATGCATATTGCACGCATGGTGTCCGCGGATAAACGTAACGATAACGTCGCGAAGCAATTACAAACTAACCGTGATTCCGCCAGACGGAAAAGATGGAAAGCTTTTTCGTTCACCGGGATATGCGCCATCCCTTCGTTCCTGAACGGATATTAATTAACGATCCAAGGACAAGGTTAGAAAGTATTCGTACACTGATCAATTTCCAAACAAACTATGTATAATTGTAATTTATGAACTTACTTTTTATAAACAATGACATTCTACATATTCTCGGAAATCACTGGAATAGATAGATTACAAACCAAAAAAATAGCTAGGAGTTCCTTGAAAAGAGTGGTTCGGGAGGTGATTTGAAACAACTTTTTCCTTAGCGAAATTGTTGTCCGAGGCCTCGTTGAGGAGATATTAACGGAAAAC